ATAGCTTGGTATTCAAACATGCCCAGCTGTTGCAAAACTTCTGCTAGAACAGTAAGTGTACGGTTTGACCCATTTTCAGTCACTTTGTCTGTTTCCATCGTAAACAGTGCATGTGGTAGTTGGCATTCTGACTACTCATTTTATTTGAAGAACACATATTGTGCAGATTTTTTAAATTACTTTATGAATACTTTTGCCCTGTTTTTATGACTTTGCAATAAGTACTTTTAACCTTTACACCAGTTAGTGTCCATAATATGATCCCATGTTACTGTATGTGGTGCCCAGTGGTGAAATGTGACCCATAGTGTTGGGCCTTTAGCTTGGATTGTATCATGGTGCCACTCGCAGTTTACATACAAGGACACCATAACAATTCATTTTGATGAAGTCGGCTCAAGTTAAATTTCAAAGTTCTGACGCTCGCTACAAACAGCATGTTTTTCTCTGTATATAAGTCTATGCAACAGCTGAATTATGGTGCCGTTTTTTTAACAGTCAAAACAACAACATGAACAGAAATGCTAATCCAACTTTAAATGAACAACCAATGAGAACAACCTATCTGAACACAACCTGAAAAAGTCCACCCATTTTTGTCCCAATTACACCTTCTGCCCCTGCAGCTCACTAAAAATGCTATGCCTAATCTCAATGATGCATTTATGGACAATGTTGTAGAAAAAGAACTGATTCACAAACAATCAGGTGTAGACTTCATTAAATCTTTAATTTGCTGGTAACTGGCCTTAGGTTCTTGTTGTTGTTTTTTAACCCTTTTTGTATTTTAAACCATTTGGTTACGGATTGAGTCATTCATTCTTACATTCATAAATCAATTTAAAGGTTTATCAAATAACACCAGTGTTTCTTCTAATCCGATGGGGTGGTTCTGTTCTTTTCTCATCATATTTGTATTTCTGTTTTTAAACCACCATTCCTGGGAGAACTTGCTTCCTGTAGGACTGGCCATTACATTATTTTTATATAAGGTTTTAGTTAGTTATTATTTTTATATTTTTGTGTTCTACACGTTTACCCAATTTTACTTGTATATGTTTGTTTGTACGTGTATAGATGTTTATGCATATTTTAGATTTTATATGTACAATTTTTCTTTTATTTATTGTAAAGCACTTTGCAATATATCTATGAAAGGTGCTATATAAATAAACTTTACCTACAGTACTTGTATAATTACATGTGTGAGCTTCTCTACAGTCATGGTATTAGACCTTGTTTTTGTGTCTAAATGCTCAAAACTAGTTCGTCTTGTGTTGTTTTTTTGTCTTGTCTGCTTTTCTTTGATCTTTTTTCTTTTTCCTACCTTTTCCCTTTACCCTTTTTCTTGTCTCCTTCCATTCTTCTTTGTTTTTCTTTTTCTGTCTCCCTCTCTGTGTGTCTTTGTGTGTTGGTCTTGTCGTCAAAGGTGTGGTCCAGAGAAAGCTACTATGAGAGACTGTGGAAGGTAGAAGGTGCTATACTGTTGTGTAAAAATTACTTCTATGTTGGATCATTTAGAGAAATAAAACCTCAAAAAGGAAGTGCATTTTCATAAACTTTGATCAGTTTCATCTCAACCACACAATTCCGTTTTTAGCTGAAAATACCTAATATCAGGGACGCTGATGACGAGTAAACTTTCATTTATTTGACCTGAAAAAACATCAGAACTTTTTTGTAGCACTGTATTAAAAATTCTAGAACATGGGGTGTCCAAACCTGGTCCTTGAGGGCCATTATCCTGCATGTTTTCTTTGTTTCCCTGCTCCAAGACACCTGATTTATTGGCCTGAATTGTGTTCTACGGAAATCTGGATGAATCAAATTAGCTGTGTTGGAGCAGAGAAACATCTAAAGCATGCAGGATATTGGCCCTTGAGGACCAGAATCGAGGAACCATGGTCTAGAGTCAAGTTTCTTTCAAAGAAAGAAACTTGACTCTCTATTGGTAGGTTTTCAAGCTTTCTGAAGGTCTTTCAAAATGTTTCTTGAGCTGCATTTCTGCTATTTTTGGATCTACTACCTGATCATTTCAAATGAAAGTTTTGATTTATGCATTTATTTATTTATTTGTTTTAAGTTAAATAATTTCTATCCATATTCAGTCAGTTTGCTCAGAATTCGAACAAATCATTCTATAGAGACTATAAGTGTGTTTTAGATCACACTCATACACTGATGAGACACACATTGGAGGCAATGAAGGGTTCCGTGTCTTGCCCAGGGGCACTTCAACATGTGACTGCTGGTGGAATAGAATCCCCAGTTCTTCCACTGGAGGGTGACTGCTCTAACCACTCAGTCACATCTGCCCCTAAAGATGACAAAGGGTTTTGTGACATGGATTTTATGGTGGACATCACTGACCTGCTCAACACCCTCAATATTCAGCTTCAAGGAAAGGAACAGATCATCACTCACCTGTTTGACCACGTAAAGTCCTTCTAGTTGAAGTTGTAGCTACTCTGTCTGCATCTGTCAAGGATTCAAGGTTTTTTTATTGTCATTCACATCACATGTGGTACATGAGGTGGAACGAAACATTATACAGGTGCTGGTCATAAAATTAGAATATCATGAAAAAGTTGATTTATTTCAGTAATTCCATTCAAAAAGTGAAACTTGTATATTATATTCATTCAGAATCAGAATCAGAATGCTTTTATTGTCATTATACGCAAGTACAATGAAATTAAGAGACACTCCTTTTTTAGTGCAAAAACATGCTTAAGAAGAACACACACTAAAAATATAAAAAATGTAACGCAATATAGATATAATAGCACTATGAAAGTAAAAGTGAAAGTTCATTACACAGACTGATATATTTCAAATGTTTTTCTTTTAATGTTGATGATTATAACTGACAACTAATGAAAACCCCAAATTCAGTATCTCAGAAAATTAGAATATTTTGAAATGGTTCAAAATTGAAGACACCTGGTGCCACAGTCTAATCAACTAATTAACTCAAAACACTTGCAAAGGCCTTTAAATGGTCTCTCAGTCTAGTTCTGTAGGCTACACAATCATGGGGAAGACTTCTGACTTGACAGTTGTCCAAAAGATGACCATTGACACCTTGCACAAGGAGGGCAAGACACAAGGTCATTTCTAAAGAGGCTGGCTGTTCACAGAGCTCTGTGTCCAAACACATTAATAGAGACACGAAGGGAAGGAAAAGGTGTGGTAGAAAAAAGTGTACAAGCAATAGGGATAACTATACTCTGGAGAGGATTGTGAAACAAAACCCATTCCAAAATGTAGGGAGAATCACAAAGAGTGGACTGCAGCTGAATTCAGTGCTTCAAGGACCACATTACACAGACATGTGCAAGACATGGGTTTCAGCTGTCGCATACCTTGTGTCAAGCCACTCTTGAACAAGAGACAGCGTCAGAAGTATCTCGCCTGGGCTAAAGACAAAAAAGACTGGATTGCTGCAAATTATTTCAAGTACATAAAAACAATATTTATGTTGCAATATTTGTTATAGCTATTGTGTTGTTGCTTGAAGTCTTAGCAGCCTTTTCACTTCTCAGGAAACCTTGCACACTTCCCCAGTCTGAGAGAAGTCAAACTGGTGAAGCAGAGACTGCCTGAACATGCAGCACTTCTCAGGAACCTGGACCAGGAATTTGAGTTTGAGGACTTATGGAAAAGTGACGTTGACATGGAGCTGTTTTCCCATTCCTTCAACATAAGTGTGGACTCAGTGCCCAATCCCGTTCAGATGGAGCTCATTGAGTTTCAGTCGGCTAAGAAATAAATTCATGTCACTACACCTCAAAGATTTCTACACACGTCTCATCAGAAACCCAAGCATTAGGAAACACGCACAAGTGATGTTATCGTTGTTTGGCAGCACTTACATCTGTGAACATAACCTGAACAAGTCCAGGCTCAGAAGCATTCTGACTGACCCACACCTACAGAACCTCTCAGTTCATTACATTTTGCACTACATATAATTATACTGAAATTTAGTTTTAATTGTCTATACCGTATATGACTTATATTTTGTGTTTTGTAATGTTCTTTATATGGAAAGGAAGGTTAAATAACTGTATAAAAAATAAAGGGCTTTACTTAAAGAAGTATTTGCATTTTGTGAATTATGTAATTGCATTTGGTTCACAGCCCTCTGATAGATTTTCGTGTTGGCCCTCTCTGGGAAAAAGTTTGGGTACCCCTGCTGTAGATAATCACCTGAAGGATAATGTATCTCTCCTGTTTCAGGCCTTAGCTGGATTTTTACCTGTTTCTTTATTTGACTCAATGGCTGTACATATTTATTTTTAGTATTTCCTTTGTTTTGCTTTTTTCCTTCTGTCTGTTCACTTGTTCCTTCTTTTAAAAGCACAAATTGCTGTCGTGGTCAAGTTCAAGTACTGCACAGAAAGTAACCTGAAAGGTAGCCAAAGACCAAAGATGGACTTTGAAAGACCTTCAGAAAGTCTGAATAACTGTTGATCAAAACCTCTTGAAAAGATAAGATAATCTGGCTGATTGGAATCAAACTCTCAAGATATTACTGGTACATTACAAACAAGATCATTTTAAATGAGGACAACACATTAAATATGAAGACACTGATTTATATAGGAAGACAAAGAATACAAATATTTAATATTCCAACTGTGTATTTGTGATTAGAAAAAAATTGATAAACTGGAAGCAGTTACAGTAATTTGTGTTATATGTGTAACATGAGATTATACACAAGTGTTGTTGGGTGATTTGGTCCTCAGCAGCATTGTTTGGTATCAGTTAACTAACAGCCTGCTGGATTTGCGGCCCTGTGAGTGTTCCCTGTTTTGACTGACAGCTAACATTGCCACACAAAGTTTCCAGGGGTTTGTGTGATGATTGTCTGAATGGCCTGTCTTCTGATGTGTAATTCAGGAAAAAGAATTAAGCAACATCGTTGCTTAATTACTTGTCATTTCCTAACTGTTTTTTTATTTGACTTTTTTTTCCTCTCCTTTTTTTTACAGCCAAGTAGACCGGGCTATCCCAGTCCCCGTTCCAGTGAGGGTTTCTATCCAAGTTCGCAGCATCCTGGACACTACCAGGTATGAAGACAAAACTCTTTAGTCTTCTACTACAATTGTACTTGATGCAAATGGTACAAAGTGTTAAAATAAACCAGATTACAGAGTACCAAGTGTTTGTCCTTTTATTCCCTCTGGTGTATAGATGGCAGGGTATCCAGGTCCTTACACTCTTCCGTCTGTGCCCAGCGCCATGTACCCACCACCAACTTCCATGGTGGACACACACCATGCACACACACACCCCCGCCACCATGTACATGCACACTCCCACATACAGCAGCTTCCCCAGCCCCACGGAGCAGACATGGCACTATGGGAGGTAAGAGACCATGTTTACTTTTATAACAGAGGGTTTTTGTCTAATTTGGAGGCTTAGTTCTTATAAATAATTTTTTTTTTTTAAATGTTAAACGCAAAAGAGTAATGTCTGTTCGCATATATTGTATTCTGGAGAAAATCCACACTCCATTGCCATATATTATTTTGAGTTTGTGTGCTTTCACCTTCTCAGTTCCGCTTATCATCAGTCTGGTGCCCGTCTGTCTTCATTTCTTATCTGTGAGCGTGTGCACGTTCTCTTCATGTGTATTTTTATTTATTTATTTTTTTGTGTTGTGCGCATGCATGTTTTGCTGTGTTTGTCTTTTGTTCCGTGTTTTGTGTGCGTGCGTAGGACAGTGAAGTAGACATGCAGCAGTGTGTAGGCCAGCAGTGCCTGTTAATGGAGGAACAGCTGATGATACAACAGCAGCAGATGGAGGAGGATCAGAGGTGGCTGGAACAGGAGGAAAGGCTGCTGGTAACAAATGCAGCACACACAAATTCACCTCAGACACAGCTGATACCAGTCCAACACAATGACTGTAACCGTACATTTAAATTGGGCATATTGTAGGAAAATGTGCACAAGAAGAATTGGCACCAAGTGTTCACAACAAAAGCAGAAAAGAAACAAAAGTAGAAAACAGACATTCAGTTATTCTTTCATCAGTTTTGTGTGCACTACTGTGAGCTCCTAGTCTAGACCCCGTATAATGTAGTCCCTCACTTATTGAAGGGGTACCTTCCACACACCCCCACGATAGGTGAAAATCTGCAAAGTAAGGACGTTATGTTTATTTTAGTATTTATATACTAAAATACAATTCCTACACTTTTGCAATGCTCAACAATGTTCTAAACGTTCTTAAAGAGCACAGCGTGTCATGAGCTCCGCTCTCTGCCACGCCCACTTTTCTGCCACAGTCGCACTCATGCTCAACACCTGTGTCACTCCCCATCTCCCTCTTCTTGAACCTGTGCGCTGCGCTTAGCGCTCCCCAGTCTCTGCCTCCCTGCCAGATTGTCTGATTGCCTTGTGCCTGAAGCATCCAGCATTCTTGCTCCTGCTCTCGTTCCTAAAGGCTTGTTTCGGGTCGCGCTGGATTATTTTAAATAGCAATCCATTCCACTTGTGCGGCTCACTCAGGTACAAGACAGATGCTCCCCTCCTTTCTTTTTCTGAGGCTGTCTGTTGCACACCCGCCTGTTGTGTGTCTCTAGGACACGATGGGGAAAGAAACTCCACCCCCGCTCCCTCCTTTCTCTGCTGTGACAGCCTCGGAAAGAGACAGGAGAGGGTGGGGGGTGGGGGTGGGTCTGTCTATACCTAAGTGAGCCGTGCTCAACCACTCTTTTTTTGTACTTTCTTACATTGAAAACCCGCAAAAGAGTGAGTCGAAAGTCGAACCGCAAAGTATCGAGAAACTACTGTATACTCTTATTCAATGCACTGTATTGTTTTGTTCAAGGTTAATGAGTTAAATTTTGTCTACACCTTTATGTTGGCATTGAAGTTTAAAGAACTATCTGAAAATAGTCACCCCTCACAGAAGAGAAAGTTGATTAGGTGGAGTCCAGCATCTCATTTAACCACCTCAAACCAGCTGCTATGACCAGAGTTGTACACATATTTCACATTACATGACTATTCCAGCAAAAATGTTATATTTCTGCCCCAGCCAGTTGCAACTGTCGATATTTGCGCAAACAACCAGAAAATTTTATGTAAATATCCATTCACTGACGAGATTGGGTTTTAGGATTTGTGCACGACACAGGACAACATGAATGGTTTAATTAATTTATTGAAACTTTGCTGCTGGTGGAGGTCTGGGTCCAGGAATGGGTTCAATCTGTAGAGATGGAGAGATCAGTAAACTTGACTTTACTATGAAAGTTCAGGGGTTTATAGAGGCAGTCACTAACCTTCACAGTTGAGTAAGAGAGGGGCTCCTTAAGAGAGCTGGTGAGGCTGACGTCCTATACTGTGAGCAGGCTGCAGCAGAGAAAGAGGTTTATGCAAAGCGTAGTTTTAAGGGTTGTCCAGGGACGAAGTCCAGTAGAGCAAGCAGGGGTCAAGAACCATAGAGCAGAAATTCAAAGACAAATCCAAAACGTGATCCTTGAGGCGTAGTCATGATAATAATAAACAGAGTTGGTACCTTGGCTAGAAAGTAGAATCCAAATCAGGCCAGGGTCAGGCAAGGCGAGGAACAGAAGACAGGTGTGGGATCAAAACAAGACAGGCAGACGAGACTATGGCATGGATGCTGGACATCTACAATCACAAGCTGGACATCTACAATCACAAGGATTTCAATAATCTGGCAACAAGTGAGTGAGAGCATGAGGCTTAAATAGGGAGCAGAACAGGTGCATGAGATCAAGGCTGATTACTGTGGTAGAGCAGAGTGGGCGTGGCGCAAGGTGACAGGAGCAGAGCTTAAACTAGAGCAGGAGAAAAACAAAACATGAGGACATAAACTTTGGCAGGGAGGGACAGAAAACATGGCATTCATTTAGAAAAATATGTTTACATGAGACACTTTGAAACTTTTAAGATTGGAGTTATTAGATAGGGGCAGCAATTTACTTTGGTCTTGGTGTCTCTATAACTAGCCGTTAGCTCGTTAGTCTGGTACAGTAGTCCCTCACTACTTCGCGGTTTGAATTTTGCGGACTTGCTCTTTTGCGGTTTTTCAAAGTAAAATTGGACATGACACACAATGGGCTGATTGATGGATAAGCCGTAAGAGCGGCTTGGATTGTTTATTTAAAATACATTTTTAAATGATTTAGCATCTGTTAAATCATTAGTTGTAGGGAGAAGCTCCCTCCTGTTGTGTCATGATCTCCGCTCTTTATCACCTGCGGCTCTCTGCCACGCACACATTTCTCCTCCGTGCATTGTGAAGCAGCTTCGTGAAGGGTTAACCTGTTGCTGTCCAGCTGCGCCGATCGATTTTTGTCTTCCTACTTAAAATTCAAAGTATATCACATCATAAAATCGTCATAATTACAAAATATAAAAGTGTTAAAAGTTATTTTTAAATATTTTAGCACTTCTATGTTCAGTTGGTGAAGTGTAATTGATCAAGAAGTACATTTCTGCTCTGTCCTGTGGAGCTGCGTGAAGAATTAACCCTTTGATGTCCTGCTGCGCTTCTCTTCTCTACAATTTGAATACTGTAATATTTTAAATAAACAGTATTTAAATTTAAAGAGTTTATTTACACAGAAGGAGGGAGATTGGGAAAGATGATGAGTGTGATTGCAGCAGAGAAGTGGGCTGGCAGAGAGCGGAGAGCGTTTGGACTTTAGAAACATTGTTTATATTGTAAGAGTGTGGGCAGGGTTTATAAAGCCTTGAAATATATAAATATTACAATAAACTACTACTTACTACTCCTACTATTTGTACTACTATCCCTACTTCGCATTTTTTCTTTTATCGCGGGGGGGCATGGCCCCAAACCCCGTGCGAAACGAGGGACTACTGAATAGATAAAATTTCGTAAGGTTTTGTCTACCAAACAAAACACTAAAGAACAATGTCTTCTTTTAATGTGACTTTACTTTGAGAACAGTGTAGTGCAGTTTATCAGCTTGATGTGATTTATGTTTTTATGTAATTCAGAATGATAAAATTATTCGTTTGTATTTTACAGCTAACAGTAAATTTAATAGAAATATTGGTAAGGGTTTCAGCATCAAATAAACATCAAGATACATTTTATCTGTATAGTTGGAATCATTTACCGGCACAAGAATGTAGAGAAAAATACAATTTAGCATCTTTGGTGTATTGGCGGTGCATATTTAATATGGTGTTGTGCACGATACATTTATCACAGATGTCTTGCTGAGTTGATGCATTATTTGTTTTAAAGTTGATTTGACCTCATTGCCATTTTTTTTGTTGATTTATTATTTTAATCACGTTAAGGTTATTGCTGTGTCAGTTCATAAAACTTTAGCTCATTAACTGTCTTACCTATAAAGAAAACTCGATGTCGTTATAATTATTCTTACATTTACTGATTTCAGTTGTGGTGTTTAAAAAACATTTGGTTAGTTTTCTCACTTTGCAACCCAATTTCTGATAGTGGCCTTGCTTACACTTGGATGCAGGCACACACCAAAATGGAAGTGCGCACGTTGCTTATTTTTCAAATTATCCTGATCACAATGTTTGCACAAAAACGTATATGGTGGCAGCCATCTTGGATTTTGACGTGGCAACCCAATTTTTGACATTGACCTTTTTTACGCCAAGATTCAGCCGCACACCAAAATGGCAGTCGGCACCTCGCTTATTTTTCAAGTTTTTAGCTCACAAGCGGACAGACTTATAAAGCGGCAGCCATCATAGAGTTTGACGTGGCGACCCAAGTTTTCTAAAAGGAACCTTTGTTTTGCTGCTCACTACGCTGCCAGACACCAAAACATGCAGATTTTAACGCTCAGAGTTCTGCTGTTTGTTCTTATAGATAGACTAACAGAAAGACATGGTTCTCAGGAGAGAGGGGTGTTCGATGTTTCAGGCATTTTTCTGTGAACATTGATTGAAGTATCTGTCTGGAGTTTTGGAAGAAGCGTTTTATTGTCAGCGTGTGTGTGAGTTTAGAGGCAGGTGTGGCCTATGTGAATTCCAGGCTTAATGATAGGCTTACAGATTTGACAGCCCCATCAACAGTCTTTGACCCATAACCACTAACCAGCAACACACAAGATTACTGAAAAGCCAAGGAGACATTAAGTGGGTGTGTTGGAGCGCGCACATGTGAAAGTGTTTGTCGTAGACTGCCTGGTTTTTATCACACTGTTACTTCAATGAGGAGGGGAGGAGAAAAAGGGGGGAAACTGTATCCTGACAGCTGGTTGGCAGTGTATCCCTCCTCCTCTTCTCCTTCCTTCTCTCCATGTTTTAGTCAGATTTAAGGCAGGAAAAGCAGAAAATTGGAGTTGGATCTCATGAAGCTGCTGGCACAGACAGGCAAGCTGAAAGAAAGAGAACGTTTAGATCGAGGCAGACAGATTCTGTAAAATCGGAGGATAAGAGGCCGACACCTCTGACGTCTCAAACAACTCATCAGGCAACTGTGATTAACCTAATGGCGATGCTGGTCTTCAAGTCCTGCCTTGGAAAACTGGTATGAGACGTGTAGGAGGGCAACTGGTTAGATTTTGCTTTTGATTTGGTTGTAGATATTCAGAAGTAAAAACGGAAAGGAGCTTTTCATTTAAGATCCTGTATAGCTCTGTTTTTATTTAAGTTATTTTGAATGAATTACATGTGCTGCAGGCGGAGAGTTAAGTCCTCATCAGAATAATCTTCAGTCAGTCATAGCAGCAGAGTAAAGTTTTGCACCTTAAGCTGTAAAAAGAGTGCTGGGGCTAACGGTAAACCACAACATGGAGAAAATCTCATAAAACAATATTTTTGCACTTTTAGGTCACGTGACTCCGACCTTTTACAGCAAACCAAATTCTTCAGCTTTAGTGCAGTTCTGTGGGTAAATTACATAACGCTTCTAAATGATAAGGCTTGTGTTTGTTTAGAAACCAGACACGAGAAGTTCTAGAGGGAGTTTGGACAGAGAAGAAGGTGGACTCCAACCTCCGGTGAGTAACTTGTTTTTTGTTTTCTTTCACTGATTTATTTAAAATGAACTGCTGTTTTTCTTATTGTTTTCTCTTTTTAATGAATGTATCAGTGACACAAACCAGAGTTTGATGTACTTCTGACCTCGACATGACATCATCATTTTCTGAATTTAATGTCAGCAGCTGTCTGCAGCTTCTGTTTGCTGAACTGTTTGCAGTTTAAATAAAAAAGCAATTAGATTAGCAAATTTGTATCAAATGGCTTCTAAACGTGTTTGTTTGGATTCAAGCAGAGGGGGTAAGATCTGGGGACAGGATGTAATTTAAAGAGGGAGTGGGGGCTGTAAGCAGTGCAAGGTCAGTGTTTTCTCACAGCATCTTTGGATATTAATAGAGGGCCGTTACAAGAGAAGAATGCTGGAGGTCTTTAGTGGTAATTCTAACCAAAATTTATTAAAACCTCGCTTAGGAAAAAAAATCATTCACCGCGGTTTTATTTAAAAAAATAGCTGTCAGTGGTTTCTTTCTGTTTTTGTATTTATTCATTGTGTTTGCCATGTTGGTTTTCATAAAGTTTGATATAATGGGGTGAAAATCTGTTGTCAGGATTGATATGTTCAAGTTGTATTGAACGCTTTTTGAATATGTTCAAGTTATACAGAAAACTCAAAAAGTAATTAAATAACTACAGGACCAGTTAATATGCAAATTTGTTAATTATCCGTTTTGTTTAGAGACATTTTTCCTCATAAATTTCACATTTGTTCACATTTACACAGGGAGAAACTGTTTTACATGACCGTAACTTTATTCCTGTGGCTTTCAGAGTGCTGTTTAGCAAAAACAACCATTTTCTTTACCACTTTCTAACCTTCAGGAGACCAAATTAAGATTGTTATTTTCTGCCATAGATCATTTTGCTGCCTTATTTGTTGTCATGCATGAGGAATAACCACTTCTTATTTTTTCATTGTTACGCAAAGTTAACGTTTGCATCAAGCCAAACCTACTGGTTGTTGAATTCTGTTAACATCCTTTCTTACTCAGTCATTTTAGTTTCCAGGTTGTCGATCTCTGTTGTTTATCAGAGATGTTTGTCTCTTTTTTCCAGTAGGTTTTGTGTGTGCAGAGTTGAACACAGCTGTATTTTAGTGTGTTTTTGCTCGATGCCATCAGGAGTTGTTGTAGCAGCCTGAAGCTGCCACAGGCCAGATATTTCCGTCTCTGTAATTCATCTCTCTGCTTGTCCTCCTCCCATTGAATGGTTGTGGTTTGTGTTGGGAAAATCTTTCAGAGTTTGTGCTTGTGTGTGTAAATTGGGTCTTATTTTGGGGTGTTGATGGTTGTCAGGCCACAACACTCTGATGGCACCAGGGTAATTGAAGACTTTAGTGTTGTTTTCTCACACTGTGAAAACAGCAGAGATGCTGAAACAACAGCAAAGGAACTCTGTGCATGTTCTACATCTCTCGTTTGTGATTTTCATCTGAGCTTACAACGATTAAATCACAAAAATATGTTGCATGATTGTGTTAGAGTTTTGAAATGGGAGCTTTAATGCAGGAGACAGTTGCTTCTGAATGTTTAAAGATTTTATTTGTGAGCAACAATGACACAAAGCACATGTAACTTTGGAAACAGCAACATCTCCTTGAGTTGCAACGGCTTTCTGTGAACTAAATGACACTTGGTAACAATGTAAACAGGATTCTCTTGGTTTTCTTTGCTGACTCTGCTCGTGTTTTCTTTTCTCCTGTCAAAGTTAAATTTCCTGTAGAGTCTGATTATATTCATTTGTTAACCCAATTCTGTGTTTGTTTGTGCAGACAGGAAACCAGCACATATACCAGCCTGTTGGCAAACCAGGTAATAAACAGGCCTCCATAATACACAACCACATCATTCAGTCAGAGAACCACTATTGTTTTATTGTCTTTTGTCTTTCATAATCTATAATAGGCATTTTCCACATTTTACCATTATTACTGTATGTTGCGCTGTTATTTCCTAACACTGGACAAATTATGCACATTAGTGTACAAAAATATTTCTGTAAATCACTTCAGATTTCTTTATTGTTTGCTTACAAGGAGCCAGACATTCCCTTAATCTTTCAAATAGTGCTGGTCTAAGATACTAATAATAGCTCCCTACATAATATGTGACATCAACGATCACTTAGTCAAGCTGAACTATGAGTACAATGCAATTAGTGTCGTAGTCATGGTTTGCGCCAATAAAGGACAACAAAAAGAATGTATCCAAGACGCATTGTTGCTTTGGGACTTGCGATAGTGACAGCCGAAATGCTGACAACCCTCGAATGCAAGTTATTTGCTTCATGCCGCTTCTAAAGCCGATTACTGTTGAGTCTTTGATTTGGAAATTCTGCTGTTTTCCTGCTCGAACATGTGTGATCTGACATTTTGATGCTTTGATGTTTGTTCTGATCAATGCCACTGCATATTGACTCCGCTACCACCTTTAACATTTGATCATGTGGCCATAAATAACGGCCCTTGCTTAGTCTTTGGAACAGCTACAGAGAATGTGTTGTGTGCCTCTTCCATGGCACAGGGTGCATGTTGGTGTTTTTGCTTTGCCACAACTACTGTCAATAAAATGAATGGACTGGGCAGTATCATACACGGGATGTAAAACTTGATGCAATACGGTTCAGCTTTCTACAGCTTGGTCCATGTGGTTTTCCTCTTTAATGCTTTGTCCCATCTCATCCATGCACTCTGTTGTCTCAGTCACACCATTTGGCTTGCCCGTTCCTCCTTGACTTAGCTCTAACCTCCTTTTGGACCAGATCCCACCTTTCTTTATCTTTTAAATTGGTGAAGTCAATTGATGGAATGCTTCCCAATCCTGCCCGACCTCTTGCCACTGTTCCCACTATATGGTGCAGCTTTGACTCTGCCAGGATCACTGCCTCTTGAGCGTTTTATTTTGTCCAAGTCCTCAACTCATTTGCAGCTCAGGAAACTCTTGGGTCGCTGGATTCCTTATGGTGTAGCACCTCCCTCGCTCAGCTAACCTTGAATTCTTCAGTGATGCTTATGATGAGTAGCATCAGCTTATTTGTGTTGCCATACAGGGTGATACTGCTGAGACTCTTGGGCAATCCCAGCCACCCAGAGATGTTGACTCACTCTCCTCTCAAACCCTCTCACAGTAGAGAGCAGAACTTTCTAGTCCAACAATGGCCACAGTATCCTAGAGAGGAAACAATGTTGGTAAATCCAGGCTTTAAATTTCCCTGGCAGGCCTGACGTGTCTAAAACTGCCAGCTATCCCTCCAGTTCTTGATTTGCCGCTCTGATTGAGGTAACATCTCGTAATGTGTGGTCAAAGACCTTCCCAAGGCTCTTCACCCGTTTCTCTGTAACTGATATTTGGGTTCCTCCGACAAAGAAGCAAAACTGGTCTGTATATTATAATAAAATAAGGCATCACTCGAGACTTTTGTGCAGTACTACATCTTTCTATCTTTAGCCATTTTTTCATTATTCAGGCTCACTATGACTTATCAAGACTCTACTTGGATCTACACGAGCCAAGTGGTTTTTGATATAACTTGAGTTCTGCCTCATTGTGGATGGGATCTTCAAAACTTCTGTGGCATTAGTTTCTATCTAAAGCAAGCACAAACAGCAGTGGACAAATACTGTAGGTGAAATAAAGTCACAGCACTCACCATTCTTTGTCATGGTTTTTCTAAATGCTGTGGCAGAGTTGAGACCACGTTTCCTCCGCTGGTCTGAGCCTGTTAATTGAGACCATTTGGTCTAACTCCCTCTGATGTCAGCTAACAAGCACAGAAACGTCTGCATGTCCTCACAGTACTACGGTGTTGATTTACTTGTTGCCCTTTTAATGTATTTTATTTAAGTAAATAACTAAATAAATGCTGCAGTTGGAAGGTTTTAAAAATATTGAATTTGATTCATGTGAAAGAGACACTCTCGTTTTACGTTTTTCTCAGGCCATTCATTGGCCTGCGGTCTGCTGATGGTCAAATCTTCAGTTCCACTCAGTTTACTTGAATCCTTGGCCCAGTAATGAGTGAGATTACCCAGTGGAAAGATTCAAACGCCATGCGGAGTCGACCCACGTAGGGTGGAGTCAAGCCCATGGCTAAAGTTCATTTCTCTGTCTTTCGGTTTGGAACATAACAGATTACGTGTTCGTATGGCACAATGTACGGCACTTTAATTTGACAGGTCTGATGGGAAACTCTGCAACTTTTGAAAAACAAGTGAACAAGTTAACTTTTACTAAGCTTAGGTCGGGTTGGACGATGATTAACGTTTTCTTTGTTTTGCTTGCATGAGAAATTGTAATTTGCCCCTACATTTCTGAACAGTTTTCTTGTTTTGTTTTGTGCAGAACATGCAGCCCCTCCAAAAAAACCTCCTCGGCCCGGAGCCCAGAGCCAAGTAGGAGGTCTGGCTTGTCTGCACACCGGAGACAGTTACAACGATGGAGTCAAGGTACAGCCGCACGTGAAATATGTACACAAACCAGAATCTTCATCCTAAAACTAATTTACTGTCACTCTTGTATGAGCTCCTGACAGCAGCATGCACACATGCAAGAAAAAAGCATTTAACAAACACAAATTGCATGGTTTTAATGCTGACACTGTTAATATTTTTCCCTTTTTTTTTCCGTCTCTTCCTCCTCTTCCTCCTCCTGCATCCCACCTTACTGTTGACCCCTAGCCCTGGCGGGTAAGCAGCACACTGTCTGTGTGTGTTTACTGTGCATCTCGTCACTCGCTTCATCAAATCATTGATTCAACTAATCGCAGTAATCTGTAGTGGTAGTTCTTAACGCTCCAGTCTTCCTCGTGATCCTGTTAAGTTGATGATTTTAATTGTCTTTTCCATTCAAATTAACATACTGATCTATACTTAAGCTCTCGTTACACAGGTTTTTGATTGGAATGAAAATCTTTCTTAGCTAATTACCTCAGTTTGGAGAAAAAAGTTAAATTCTGACAAGCTTATGGGTAATCAGAGCAGGGCCAAAAACAGCAGCTCCAGTCTGTTTCTTAAAGCCCTTCAGGCTAATTGTTTCATTAACCTTTACATTTCCATTATTTCACATTTGTTTGCATGGAATTATCTCTGAAAAGTCAGTAACGATGTAGAAGTTTATAAAATAGAGTTTGCATGAACTGCTATAATGTTTCAGAGCTTAGTTATACAGTAGTCCCTCGTTTATCGCTGGGGATCCGTACCATATATATATATATATATATATATATCTAAACAATGTTTCTAAACTAAACGCTCTAAAAGAGCACAGCATGTCATGATTTCAGCTCTCTGCCTCTGCTGCTCTCAGCCACCTGCAAGCACTCTTGGCCACGCCCACTTCCACACTGCACGGAGATCAACTGCAGCAGGAAGTTTATCCTGCAGTATGGGCTGCACAAAGGTGCAGCAGGTGCTAAATAATTTAAAACAAGTTATTTTAAATAAAAATCCCATGCTGATCGTGCAGCTCATCCATCATTCAGCCAATTGTGTGTCATGTCCAATCTTATTTTGAAAAACCGCGATAGAGCGAGCCTGTGATAAATGAAATGTGAAGTAGCGAGGGACTACGGTATTATGGCAGCAGTCCATGTGATCTTGGCCCTGCTCAGACAAGTTGTTAGTTTTAGCAGATTTAAACTCTTATTTCTCCAAATGTTGATACTGTTCAAAGAGATCAGGCTGAGCGTTATTCTTTCCCCACAAATTGATTTTGTAAAGATCTGAAATATCCCTCTTTGCCATGTCAATGCACCATGTGACACTGCCATCTGGTGGCGAGAATAGAAAACTGTTTCCAGTAGCTCTGACGGTAGCCTGCTGCTATTAAAAAAAAATGTCCAGATGACCTGACTGAAAATTGTTGGATAGTTTACCTGGATTATTGAGCATGGACTTTGTTGGTTTGTTTTATTCATACTTTGTGAAACCGTTAATCCAGTATTGAGAAATTTAGGACAGACTGAGTTTTTATCATCAGAGTAGTATAAAGTCAGGCGCTTCACAGCTGGTGTGCCGTTCTCCATGTTATTTGTTCATTCAGATCGTCTCCTTTTTGCTCTCCCGTTGTCCAGCTGCAGCCTCAGGAGATCAGCCCGCCTCCCACGGCCAATCTGGACCGCTCAAACGACAAAGTTTATGAGAATGTGACGGGACTGGTGAAGGCTGTGATTGAGATGTCAAGTAAGATTCAGCCAGCGCCTCCAGAGGAGTACGTACCCATGGTCAAGGTAACGCATGCACGCTCACTTTTTTATTTTTTATTTTCAGATTCTAGTTTCACTGCTGTCCATTTGAAAATGTTCTCAGAGTAAGAAGATGAAGGTAGCTCTGTTGGGACAGTTCCATCTTTGATTTCTACTTGACCAGTTAAACAAAACTGTGTACTTGTTCATAGAGTAGATACTTCTTGAGGAATCATTTGCAGTTCAGATCTGGCTATTTAGGCTCTTCAGCTTCAAGAGGTAGATTAATGACGGAAGATTCTCTGTTTCCCATCTCAGCCTGATAGAAAAACTGAGACGCTGCTCTCATTTATATTTTATTTTTACTCATTATTTCAGGGTGTTTAGTTTTTGTTTTAAATTCATACTTTCCACAATGCACAACCTGAACTTCTGATTTTAGCAGGACGTACCACAGATACAAGCAGGACTTTTATTTTGACAGCCAAATGTGATGCAGCCATTCTGAGTTTGTAGCTTTCTTTTGTTCTTATCAAAAAAAAAAAAAAAAAAAAGTAATATCGCCAATTTGTTCTGAAAAACGTAAATGCTATCCAAATATTTTACTTGTGTCCTGAATTGTTTGTTTCAGGATGTTGGTCTGGCACTAAGGACGTTATTGGCCACAGTAGATGAGACTCTACCTCAGCTCCCTTCCAGCACACACAGAGAGGTAGAATAGAAACACACCTGACTGTTGAATCCATTTATACTTCTTCTTTCCCATTGTGTGGATTTGTTTCAATTTGCTACCATTTATAGATTGAGATGGCACAAAAATTATTGAACTCTGACTTGGCGGAGCTGATCGGGAAGATGAAGTTAGCCCAACAATATGTGATGACCAGGTGGGTGACAACATCACAACATGGGCAAGCAAGCAGTCAAACAAGTTTAAGCCTTGGAAAAACATGTTTAATTTTAACTTTATTTATATTTTTTGTCTGCTTGTAGATAAAAGTCACAAACAAGTTAAATTTTTTTAGGAGCCAGAACATTTCTAACCAAAGTTTGAGTGATAAGTGCTCATAAACCTGTGCTCTCAGTCTGCAGCAGGACTACAAGAAGCAGATGCTGACAGCAGCTCATGCTCTTGCTGTTGATGCCAAGAACCTCTTAGATGTCATTGACCAATCGCGGCTCAAGATGATGGCCCATTCGCGCCCACACTAACCCTTCTCCGCCCACCAAGAGCTGAGGTGACCCAGTAAAGACACACATCCACGGTTCCTGTTGGAGAGCTAAAGACACCTGGATTGGTGACGTTAGTCCTGAAAGATGGAGTTTTTGGAGAGAACAATGGCTTCTTTGTTCTTATCACAACCTGGAAGATTAAAACAATCATATCCTCCTTTAGGGTGGGATTAAGTTATCAACCACTGTGACTTTCCTAATACGAGCAAAACACTTCCTGAATCAGAGTCTGAGCAGCTCCGCTCTCTTTGGACTGGACTGAAGAGATCTGTGGATTCCAGAAACTGATTTTTTAAACTCTGGATCTGGAGATCTGTTAGATACAAAAACTTTGACAGTATCAAACACTACTATGGGGTTGATTGGAGTTGCTGACGTCAGGTCCATCGGAACCTGAACGAACTGTGAAAAAATCCTAAACATATCACCGTGAAACATCAGCCATCATCGTGTGCTTGTCGACATCAGTCACGTGTTTGCTCTGGTTGTGAGCTCGGTGGAAACATAAAACTGGCAGATCAGACGTGATGTTTTCCTGTTTGGAATCGGCGATGTCAGAAAGTTGACACTCAAGTTGATCAACCTAGAAAAGCAGTTTTCATGTCTTCTACTCTATCTCTTCTCCATATGCTCCTGTGTCCTCTGTCTCACCAGCTTTTATTTATAGACTCACCTCACAGAGGAGAGAGAGAGAGAGGACAGGAGTTGAAACTTCAGGAGCCTCCACTGCTTCACTGTCTGGAGAAGGAGCAAACAACCCTTCTCCTCCTTCTTACTGTCTTTCCCTTCTCTTCCTGCAGTCTTCCTCAGCTCCTCTCTGAGCTGGTTTGAAAAGAGTAAATGTAAAGAACATCCCAAGCAGGACACTTTACACTTCCCAGTTTGTTCTACTTTTTGTTTTGTTCTGTTTTGGCCGGATCCACGTTTTAGTGTTGCGTTTTTATCTGTCTGTACCGAAAACTGTTTGTAACTCCGAGTGCAGGCAGCTTTACAACCCCAGCAAAAAAAAAAAAAAAAAAAGTGATGAGCTTGAATTGAATCTACCGTAATAATGTACAAACCGGATTCCAAAAAAGTTGGACACTAAACAAATTGTGAATAAAAACTGAATGCAATGATGTGGAGATGGCAAATGTCAATATTTTATTCGTAATATAACATAGATGACAGATCAAAAGTTTAATCTGTGTAAATGTAACATTTTAAAGGAAAAATATGTTAATTCAAAATTTCACAGTGTCAACAAATCCCAAAAAAGTTGGGACAAGTAGCAGTATGTGGCTGGAACAAGGAAATTGAGCATATAATGAACAACTGGAAGACCAATTAACACTAATGAGGTCAATTGACAACATGATTGGTATAAAAAGAGCTTCTCAGAGTGTCAGTGTCTCTCAGAAGCCAAGATGGTAAGAGGATCACCAATTCCACCATTGTTGCACAGAAAGAGAGTGCAGCAATACCAGAATGGTGTTACCCAGCGTAAAATAGCAAAGACTTTTAAGTTATCATCATCAACCGTGCATAACATCATCAAAAGATTCAGAGAGTCTGGAACAATCGCTGTGCGTAAGGGTCAAGCCCGTAAAACTCTACTGGATGCTCGTGATCTCCGGGCCCTTAAACGTCACTGCACCTCAAACAGGAATGCCACTGTCAAGGAAATAACAAAATGGGCTCAGGAATACTTCCAGAAAGCATTGTCAGTGAACACAATCCACCGTGCCATCTGCCGTTGCCAGCTGAAACTCTACAGTGCAAAGAGGAAGCCATTTCTAAGCAAGCTCCACAAGCTCAGACGTTTGCACTGGGCCAGGGGTCATTTAAAATGGAGAGTGGCAAAATGGAAGACTGTTCTGTGGTCAGATGAGTCACGATTTGAAGTTCTTTATGGAACACTGGGACGCCATGTCATCCGGACCAGAGAGGACAAGGATAGCCCAAGTTGTTATCAACGCTCCGTTCAGAAGCCTGCATCACTGATGGTATGGGGTTGCATGAGCGCTTGTGGCATGGGCAGCTTGCATGTCTGGAAAGGCACCATTAATGCAGAGAACTATGTTCAGGTTCTAGAACAACATATGCTCCCATCTAGACGTCATCTCTTTCAGGGAAGACCCTGCATTTTTCAACACGATAATGCCAGACCACATTCTGCAGCAATCACAACATCATGGCTACGTAGGAGAAGGATCCGGGTACTGAAATGGCCAGCCTGCAGTCCAGATCTTTCACCTATAGAGAACATTTGGAGCATCATAAAGAGGAAGGTGCAACAAAGAAGGCCCAAGACGATTGAACAGTTAGAGGCCTGTGTTAGACATGAATGGGAGAGCATTCCTATTTCTAAACTTGAGAAACTGGTCTCCTCTGTCCCCAGACGTCTGTTGAGTGTTGTAAGAAGAAGGGGGGATGCCACACAGTGGTAAAAATGGACTTGTCCTAACTTTTTTGGGATTTGTTGACGCCATGAAATTTGGAAACAACAGATTTTTCCCTTAAAATGATACATTCTCTCAGTTTAAACTTTTGATCAGTGATTTGTGTTCTATTCTGAATAAAATATTAGATGTTGGCACCTCCACATCATTGCATTCAGTTTTTATTCACAATTTGTTTAGTGTCCCAACTTTTTTGGAATCCGGTTTGTAAAAACGTTCGTTCTTTTCCCCTTTTTGAAGATACTGTTCATATGTTCCTCCTAAAAGACCGTAAGTTGCACTTTGAAGTGTCCAGCCGCTCAGCTGTGGCACAAAAATAAAACTTTTCTCTGGTGTCAGAAACAAAGCAGGTGTATCACTTAAAAAATGTCTCGCCTAACGACCGGCTCCAGGTAAACACACACAGACACAGGAAGCCATACGACTGGTACTAGTTTTACAGATAAAACACTGAAAACTACAGGTGTTTTTGTTAATACTGAGCCCACCTGGAGTGTGGAGTGTGGAGTGTGTGTACAACTATGTTAAATGTACTGGTAACTGTACTGGTATAGCATGTTTTACTTGTATGACAAAGGAGCATATTTGCACAGCACCAAAATGAAAATAAGTCATAATCTAATCTTTTTTTTAAATCCTGTTGTACCCAGATGTGGTTTTTCATGTTTAACCAGCAACAAAACAATTGACTATCTGGGTCAGGTATGGGTTAAAATATTGAAAACACATTTAAAACAAATCTATTTTGTCTCTGTGTCGCGTAAATCTACTCATGTTGGTTTATTGTAAGCTATACTGGTGTGTATCACTAGTGAATTGTACAGAGCAAGTAAACACTGGTTTTTATTTTTGTCCTCTTGCCTAAATGCACCATCATGTTAAAAAGGAAGAAAAAAACAAATAGTTCAATAAACTTATGATGAAATACGAATTATCTTTTTTTTTTCATTTGTGTAATTTCAAAACTTTAAAGACTTTTATGTGCACTATAAAGTTTTTCGTCATCATTTTCCACTTGTTCCAAAGTCAGCTCGTGGGGGGAGGGGAGGCCCAGTCTTCTTCTCCAGCTACCTTGTCTAGCTGTTCTGGGAGGACCCCAAGGCGTTCCCAGGCCAACCAAGAGACGTAGTCTCTTCAGCTGTGTAAAGGAACATATATCTGTGAGATATTATCCATAAATTAAACGGATTCTTTCATTTTTCTGGACTGAGTTCTTTCGTGCATTGAATGATTAAATGTGACGTGAGACGTTAATTTTCTTTGACACATCAAAAATGAATGCGGTCATTTATTAACAGAATCAAAGTTTAACATCAAACATTTACATTAATTTGGCAAAATTGATTACAATAACAGCTTAATTAATTAGCTTTACAATCAGAGACCATACGGCCATGGTATCTGGGTTCAAGCTCTACAACAGACATTTCTGAAAATATCTGGATGATTTACTGGCAAGATAGAAGAGTTTTAAAGATGGGAAATTAAGTTTATCTGGAGAGAAAAGATGTGTGAGGGAAAATGTGTCGGTATAAGAACGGCACTCTCCATTCGAACCCAGTTTCATCTCGGTACGCTTCGGTAGGAAATCGACTCGTTACCTCTCTGAAGATGAATCAGCTGGTACGGAGTTCCATTTAACGCTACCATTTCCAGCGTCTCCGTAGGATGGTTGGGAAACGTCCGGAGTAGTGACGGTGCTTCGTTCACACCACGCTCACCTCTCGGTTGGACTCGCATGAGCTATGAGCCCGTCAGAGTTCCACTCAGATGTGGAAGATTTCATAATTCCCACGAGACTCGGAAGAACTTCGGATCATGTCTGGAACCTCCTGTTCTCTCCAGCACTTTTCTGTTCGGTTCTGCTCTCCGAACTGAACTGCTCTCCCACCGCACTGCTTGGAACTAGGAAGTGTCGACATTTAAAGAGTTCTGTTTCCGGTTCATTTGGGAAGTCCTGATTGGCCGATCGACCAAACAAGGTGTGGTCTTAGTGATGTAAGAGGTTATTAAAAGTCAAGGTGAAGATTAGATTGTTTAAGAACAGACAGAAGAATGTTTTGAAGAAACCGAGACTTCGTGGAGTCAGTTCTCTCATATCTGTCTGAAAAAGTTAAACATGACATTTCTTTCCAGTAAACATGTAGTTGACCGAAACTTGACCTTTGACCAACTTACACTTGCTCATTTCAGACAGAAGATCAAGAAAATGAATAATTACTCTGTAACAGACCTTAACTTGATTTCTACTTTGAATGAGGATTAAAAATCATTAATACTGTTTCACAGTTGATTTAAAATGAGTAGTTCACTTCAACATTTAAAATGGTTTGAACTAAACACACTTTGATTATCAAGACATTTGTAAAATAGTAATGATAATAAAAAAGAGAGTGTTCTTTCAATTGATCAGTGCAGTACACTTAGAAAGTCTCTGGATGGACTTGATTTTGTGTTTCTGGACTCAAATCAATGAAATACAGTTCTTGTCCCAGGAAGGCCCTCAAGGTCAGGATTTGACCTGAGGCTTAGTTCACTACAGCTGCTTCCAGAGTCCTACCTGGCCAACAAGGCCCAATATGGCGCCTCTTTCAGCTTGACAGCCTCCCCCACCTGGGGGCTTCCACCACCGTTTTAGAGGATGACCACCGCAAGAAGCACAAACCCACGTCTGCAAAGGACACTGAT